CAATTATGAAACAAGAGATGCCTCGAAACCCAACCGCTTTTTAGGGATTTGCCGGTGAGTTTTCTTGACCCGTTAGTCTAAATTTGGTCGTAACGATGATACATTGCTCTGATGATGTCCGTTATAGAAAGGACAAAAGCTTAGGAGATCACCTCGGAAACACCATCACCAGGAATGTTCCAGTAAAGCCAATCGATAGCTGGTCAAGAAGAATCCAACATCGTCTTCTGATGAAACCGACCTTCGAATCTCTTCATCCAACACTTTCACTCGAAATGGAAGTAAGCACAACACTTCGTTTGTTGTCATCTCGTCATTGTGTGAATGTTCGTGTGCTGCTGCCAAACTGAACCATTGCAACAAGTCATTTGGCTCAACAAGACTCATCACCTCACCGCATGTAGACATGTGGGTGTCAGTCGCGGGCGTAGTCTCACAGCCAGACATTGTCGTCAATCCGGTTGCCACATGCACCGACGAGCAGTTCACATGGTGCCCGACTGAACGTGACGTTGGTAGCGCAGACGTTGACACTGTGGCGCCCCATACATACCATTCCCACTCTCCAGCTGACCGAGCTTCTTGCCACCGGCAATTGTGGCTGCGACAACCAGCGGTCATGTGTTAGATAGTGTGAACTCTAATCAACACCCTAATCACTGCTCATGTCAAAGGTTTCCAAGGCTCGAGTCTCCCGGCTCACACACCATCTGACGTCCCTTTCACCCCACCCCTCCATCAACCCCGTCATGTTGTCATTGCCAGTCGGCCATAGACCAATCTACCCATCCGGACTGAGTCACGTGAGAATCACAGTTTTTCAGTCACTTGGTCTCTTGGCCTCGACACCTGCGCACATGTGCAGTGGGCATGCTACAGCCTCAACAACCACCGCCCTCCCGAAAATTTCTCCCGCACATTCGGAGCCCCCTCCCGGCCTGACTAGCCAACCTGGCAACACTGTCTCTATCCTAGTCTCTGTTGCGATGGCAACGTGTCTCTCGGGCCTCAGAGAAACCCGACCGGCAAGGATGACGGGTCGAAGAACAGGCACTGCATGCCGGTCAGACAGCACAAATGTGGGGGATAATGCGCAAACGTTGCTATCAAATTACGACATCTATTTTTCTTTGTACATTCCGCTCCATCCCGACCGGGAACCAGGGCAAAAGCTGGGTTCGTGAGTCAAGCGGAAGGCCGAGTTGCTTCGGTCGAAATGACTCAGAACGCCAGCTGACCCTCCAACTGGGTTAAGCCTCAGTCATTTGCTTTTTCCATCCATCCATCCGGCCTATCCATCTACTCAGTCATACAGTTTTTGCGTGCTCTCTCTCTCTCCGGCCTCCTCGAGCCTCCTCTACCCTTTTGTCCGTCCCTATGCACATCCGTTGGTACCGGAGATTGTCTGGTCTGCTGCAATCGCAATGCGGCCTCCGCCAATGCTGCTTTTTCGCTCTTTTGTCCGGCTTGTGCACCAAACTCAACTTGGGCCTGCATGCCAGCCGAAAAGTGAAGTACAAACAAGCCTGCTGTGGACCTGTTGAGTCAGAAATTTGCGTCAGAAGAAAGACCACCTCCTCCGTGCGCCTAGCTTCATCATCTCCCGGTCAGAGTCCGTGTGGACGCTGCCAACCAGCTGATCATGGGAATGTCGCTTGCAGTTGTCATGGCCAACAACTACATCTCATTCAATGAGCGCTACTGTGGTGTATGGACTATGCAAAAATGCCTCAGTAAAAAGACCCAAAAAGGCGCATCTCTAATGTAGATCAGATTATTGTAGGAAAAGATGTTTAAGATGAGTTAAGGACTGATAGTTTACTTTTTTCACAATAAAATGAGTAGGCCTCGGAGTAGCATTAAATAACCCTTAACATTTACTCCGAAAAGATATTGTCATCTAAAGTAGACTGCCATTCCATGCTCGCCAAGGCTTCATCAGCACTCCCAGCAGGATTTGATACCGTTTTGTAAATATCGTGGCTGTGTTGCCCATCAGCTTCATTGCACTCCACTCCACTCAATTTCATTCCACTGCACTCTACTCTAACCCATTCCCCCCACTCCATACACTCTACTCCAATCCAATCCTATCTATTTTGACCCATTTCCCCCTAAGCTCTACTGCAATGCACTCCACTCAACTCCACTCCAATACACTTTTATCCTGTCTAACGCAATACCCTCCAATCCAATTTCCTTAAATAGAATTCAATCTAATATAATCCATTCCACTCTATTCTAATCCACTCCAATCCAATATACTCAGCTCCACCCCACTCCACTCCATTCCATTACACTCTATTCCAATCCTATCCAATCCACTTTAGCCCACTCCCCCCTACACTCTACTGCAATGCACTCCACTCAACTCCAATCCAATACACTTTTATTCTGTCTAATCCAATACCCTCCAATCCAATTTCCTTAAATAGAATTCAATCTAATATAATCCATTCCACTCTACTCTAATCCACTCCAATCCAATATACTCAGCTCCACCCCACTCCGCTCCACTCCATTCCA